TTCTTCAGGTCCATATGTTTCAACACTTTCCTGCATAGGCTCGTGAGATGGGATTTTTTGGTGCTTGTAAATAATTAGTTTCATTTTACCTTTTTGCTATCTGGAATTTGAACAAGTTAAAGCTGTATAGCACGCTGTTACATGTTTCCTTTTCTATACATTCTGTTGACATCGTTGCTCGACTTTTGACAATTTTTGATTGGATTAATAAGAAATAAAGGAAGCAATCATTCAGAAATAAAGAAGTATCCTGACATTAAGCTTTTGCCCCTTTAAGATTTGGGTTTTGTTACATGTACATGAGGTTTTACACATTCGTGTGCATAATGTTTAAGTGACATTTCATCATGAATGAAGTCTAGTGTACATGGAATGGTTTACATTTTTTTCGATTTCCTTTGTGTTTTCAAAAAGAAATGGGCGGGAAAATAGTTATTTTGTCAACTGACGAATGACGTATTGTCACGTGACACAATGTAAACAATGATGCCAATTATGATGTACATATAACATGATTGTTTCATCATTGGCTGGTGAAAAAACGTCACTTGGACATTATGTACACCTTGATGTACATGTAGAATAATTCTTTAGATTCAACGAATTACATAATTAGTTGAATAGTATGCGGGTTATTTAATTAAGAATATATTTGTACTTATAAATCAGTGGTAGCGCAGTTGTAAGCAAATTTTCTGGAACTTCTTCTTCTAGTTAAAAGAGCTTATAGAAGACGTTGTACCCCTTCAAAAGCTGTTTATGTATGTTAAAGGAGAAGCCAAATAGGCTCTAATACCGTCTAATACTTTTTTAAAAGACGTATGGACTCGAATTAATCAATATTGCTTGGGGAAGATGGTGTATAATGCCGATAGAAAATTGACTTATTGACGAAGCGAGAAGGGATTCTTGTCCAGATATTGCGAAAACACTCGCTGTCCAAGTGAGATGCAGCCAATCAAAGAAGATCTTGAGTCAAAATTTTCATGTTACTGAAGAATGTTTATGAATTAGTAGATAGTTCTGTTGTAACATAAATGAGTTTTTAACTTTCAAAATTTAATCCAATTTTAATTTTGCAGTTAAAACAAATAATATTAGGGTGTAATTTATAATTCAATTGAATTAAATCTCATTATTTTGGGGGTTGTTTTAACACTACAAAAGGTATGAGAATTTTCATTTTTAACTACAATATAAATATACAACTTGAGTTACAACAAAAATCTTCATTTTGTATTTCATACTATTTTGGCAACTCAATAAACGTTGGTTCTTTATTTTCTTGTGATTTTGCCCATAGAAGGAGAATCGATTGTGAGCCATATGCGTTTTATCTTGGAGCCATGTAGTGCGGAAAGTACCTTCACGAAGGGGAGGCACACGACTTTAGAACAACGTCCTTGACGTGACTGCATAATGCTTACTTTTCTAACTCCATACTTATATTTTATGTTTATGTTATTTAATTGATTATGTTAATTAATAAATATCTACACACAAATCATCCATTTTTTTCAACAATCTAAAGCCGTGTTGTGTGATTTGTACGTCAATTATGTGTGACCTTAAACTGTGTTTTGTAGGATATGAAACCTCTAATTGTGATTTTCCTATGGTGCTCTTATACTATCTGAAGATTGTTTGATTCTTTTTTTGCTTTAGCTTACATTAATTATAGCTCTTACACTATAATTAATGTAAGCTTTTCCTGTGGAAAGCCTTGGTTGGTTGAAAGCTTTAAGATATGATGATCACACTCATTGTTGGTTGGCATGGCCATTGAGGGCCTTAACATATGGTTTACTACATCGTATATTTGTGAAACATGATACTAACACATTTGATTTGTTCCTTAACTCCATTCTACTATTTCCTATAAGTTACTTTCCTTTTGCTAACACATAATTAAAAAAATTAGATTTTAGATGACAACCTCAGTATTCGGGGATCTAAAAACAATCTTGATGGCTTCACGAGGATGAGTAAAGAAGCACTCTTTGCCATCAAAGAAAGGTTGCCTCTATGTCCACATCAATACATAATTAAAATTATTTTAATTATTTACAGGTGGTGTGCATATTGCAACTGGAAGAGTTTTGCAAATATTTGGGGTACTAAATTGTTGTCCAAGAGGGACATAAATAAATTATCAAGGGGATGGGTCTAAGCTCATAAAGGAGTCACAGAGTAACACAACATTTGTGATTAGAGATCCCATCAAGAAAGTTCAATGTGATAGAAACAACCCATACTGCATAACTTGTAATCGCATTATTTTATTTGTGTTTATTCTTATGGTGATAGTGCTAATAATAATGTGATATTAGAAAATGTTTAACACCGAATGAGTACTGAGACGACAATTCTCACAAGGTGTGGATCGCATACACCATCGAAGGGCTCACCCATGTAAGAGTTGACATGAGGCCGTGGCCATGGGAATGAGCTATTTCCTATAGACTCTTACTAGAATCAAGATTAGAGCACATGGTCGTAAGCAAACTAGAGCCTATATCGATATCGTGTGTGGAGCAATTGAAGTTTGGACAAAGCAACCTAATTCATGGCTTAGCCCTTTATGGCCCCCTCAATTGAAAATTGTTATAACTAAATGAGATTCAAGTTTAAAAGACACTTATACCTATGACACAGTATAACGTTGGCACTATTATATATATTTATCTATGTTGAAAGTTTAAAACTTGTGGGGGATTGTTGTAACATAAATAAGTTCTAACTTTCAAAATTTAATCCAATTTTAATTTTACAGTTAAAACCAATAATATTAAGGTGTAACTTACAATTTAATTGAATTAAATCTCAATATTGTGGAGGTTGTTTTAACTCTATAAAAGGTATGAGAATTTTCACTGTTAACTACAATATGATATACAACTTGAGTTCCAACAAAAATCATTTTTTTAATATTTCAAACTATCTTTCTATAGGTTGTTCATTTTTTATTGGTGGGTAGATAAAAAAGGGAGATGATAGATGTGTGAGAGAGAGAGAGAGAGTGTGTGAATTACTTTAAAAATAAAAATTACATATCCCCGAATAAAATATTTTCTTTATTTTTAAGAAAAATATGGTCACATGATCAAAAGTAGGAAAATATTTTTTGTAGAAAGAATTGTCAATCAAACAATACAAAAGTAGAAAATTAAATGAAAAAAAATATGTTTTTCATAAAAATATTGACAATTAAACGCCTCTTAAGTTCTTTCAACCTCAAACCTTCAGATGCTTTAGTTAGCCGAATTGTTTGAATATTAAGCATATAAAGCAATTAGCTGGGTCCTTGTGAAAGAAAAAAAATAATCTTTAATTTACTTTTTATATATATTTTTTTATTGAACCTATTCCTTTTATTTATTTTATCATCAAATTCAGTACTTCACGTGTCATATATGCAAAATTTTAACAAGGATTTGAATAGGGGCGGACCCAGCGGTCCTGGAGGGTTACGTGCCCCCAACGTTTGAATTTTTTTTTTTTATAAAGTCATGTTTGATATCGATTGAAATTTAAATTTAAATTTAAATTTAAATCAAAATTAATAATTAATTTTAATAACATATTCCACGAAATCTATAGCTATTTAAATTTTATCAAAATTTATTAAAATTTGATTTTAATCTCCATCAAATAGGGATAGAATCACAATAAATTTTAATTTTTCTTTTTTTCTCTCGCCTTTTAACAAAATCTTAACTCTCCATCAAATAATGGCGAAATATTACATTCTTAATATCGTTTCGAAATGTTCACTGTCTAGTTTTCTACGTCGTTAATGGTGTACGAAACGATCAATTGTAGCAAATACAGCGACTTGTCAAAGTAAGCCGTTCAAAATTATTATTTCGAAAATTTCGATAACATGCTAACTTTAAAAAAAATTCGATGATCGTACGCTAATCGAATTTACAAATTGCTTATGTTATCTCAAAACTTATTTCGAGAACTACATTATAGGCATATCGCATAATCCAAACAAATATAAAAAATAGTTAAATATGCGTTAAACGCGAGTTTTAAAGAAAGACGTCTAACTCACATTTTTTTTTAAATTCAATTATTTCATTAACTTTTATTATTTTACAATACAAATTTCTCAATGTATTTTTCATTCTTTTATTAAGAAATTTTATATGGAACGTAACATAATTTTTTTCTCGAAATTTTACATCTGAAAAAGTCATATCCCATATAAATTTTTGAATGCAAAATTACATAGGGTATGATTTTTTTGAACGTAAATTTTCGATTGTAAAATTTGTCTCAATTTCTTTACAAATTAGATTGTGCTTCCTAACTTTAAATTTTTGCCCCAGCCCCTGATTTGAATAATTTCCTTCGTCGGGTAATATTTATTCACATAATTTACTTCACAAATTATGCATTAAATGGTGAAAGATCTCATTCTTACTAGAAGAAAGCATGAGAAATTTGATGCACTGGGTATTACCAAATTCGAAAATCAAACATCGAATCTTTCCCAAAAAAGAAAAACATGATATTTGTGTGTTTGTCATGGTGGCAAATGATTGGGTGAGCCGAAGTGGCACAGTAAGCTGACATATAGCTGGCTTGCAGCCGCCGATCCCTTTTTTTTTAATTAAAAGTTCAAACCATTATTCTCTCAATGCTACCAGTTGGCTCTGTGAATTAACAAACAATGAATGTGGCTGTTGGGTTAGGTGCTATACAATTATCTATATATTTACATAATTTGTATTCCAATTACCAAATTCTGGTTCATTATTAAGATTAGGTTTGCTCTGTTACTGTATTTTAAAGATTTCTCTCTTTTTCTTCAACTAATCTTTCCTGTTAATTACATGTACTAACAAACACAATCAAGAACACACAATTCAACACGCATCCAAGCTTACATAGAGGGAGAAATTTCAAGAATCGAAGAGAAACTACTGAGATTTAAGTAGCTTGCCCCGCCGGAGGAGAAGTTTGGCCGTTTGGGGTTGCCGGCGAGTAGAATGAGCGCATCGAGGTTCATAAAGTGCGTGACCGTCGGTGACGGAGCAGTGGGTAAAACTTGCCTGCTCATTTCGTATACCAGCAATACCTTTCCCACTGTACGTACCCACTCGTTTTCATTTTTCTTCCCCTCTATACAATTGTTGGGGTATTTTGGTTATCAGGTCAAGAAGCTAGTAAATGATTAGGGCATTTTTTTTTTTTTTTGGTGTCTTAATAGTTGATAATTGTGAATTTGTGAGTGCGATAATTTTTGGCGTCTTGCTCTAATTTCCTAGTTTTTTGGGCAAGAAAGTGATGGTATTTCTTGGTCTATAATAACCAGAATCCTGAACATTTGGGGAAAGTAAAGGTAACTCGTTTTTATCTGATCTGAGGAGATTAGCTGATTAGGCACATTTAGTGAAGATAAAAGATAACATTTTCTTGGTTGTCATTGGTTCATCGAAATAATGTGGTAAGGAAAATAGAGAAGGCAAGGAAAGGAAAATTTTCGACTGGGGCTTTTGGGACCTCAACTAAGTTTTGGTGTGGTTGCAGAAAGAATTTCTAAAATTTGAGATGTAGTTGCTACAAATCCATAATGCCATTATTTATAAATTTAGAGCTTAAGACTTCAAATAGGTTTTTCTTGTCGTCCTTTTTTGGTTGATAAGTTGGCATCTTTTCTTTTGTTTGCTTCCATTTCATAACTACTTTGATTTTTGAAATTTTCTCTATTTTCTTGTCATGAAATTTCAGCCTCTTGGAAGTCGAATTAATGAAGTCCCGTTCTCTAGGCCTCCTCCAATATTTGGTTGTAGGGTAAATGGGAGATTTTTCTCGGTTTGAACGGAATGTTTTTGTCAGTAAGAACTTGTTTAGTTGTTCTCGAGTTACATTTTGTTCTGAATATTACACGTATTTTTAAGTTGGTGTTTCTTTCTCATTCCTGAGAGAATGATGTCTTAGGATGCCTTTTACTTGTTTGGAAAGATAGGAGAACGAAGATTACGAAGAAGTTTAGAGGCCATTAGGTTATCCATTGTATTTTAAGTTTTTCTTTTAATCTGTGTCTTGTTATGGGTAAAGGTTGAGGTGCAAGCTGAAATACAGGAGATTTAGCGTTGTGCTAGAAGCGGGAGAGATGAGGTTTGAAGAAATTTGTGGCCTTGGAAGTGGAGACCTTCACTAACTCTTCTTTATCACTTATTACTCTACTATGTTAATGGTCATGGTGGCCAACATTCTGTCCATAAGCCCCCGTTTCTCCATGTCAAGGTCCTATACATCTTAACCTAGACAATATGCCCCAGGCATGGAGAATGCTTTATCCATCTGTACACTCTAACTAAACTAAAATGAATGAAATATTTCTTTGACAAAAATATATACCAAAACGTTTTTGTTGTTTTTGTCCATGCAAATGGAGCATTCTTTCCTGATGCAAACAAAACTGAAGAGGCTACCAACTGCATAAGTTGTTGGTAATCGTTTTCTTCATTTTACTCAGTTCATTTTTGCCTTTGTATGAGTTGCATTGGCTCTATGCATTATTATCCAATGAAACTCTTAGTTCTTCAAGTGTCAGACTTGAATTGTTTCTATTTCTAATCCAGCTGATTCAAATAATTGTCGAAGTAGATGCTCATGGGCATTGCATGCTGTTCCTACTGGCTGTGACCTTAACTCTAGTTCTCACTTTGAGCATCTGCATTCATCCCCTCTGTGATCTAGTTTGATATGAAGCTGTTGATTTTTATTTTTTGTAATTTGGTAAAATCTGAAGGGATTTTCCATAGTACGTTGTAAAATTTGGTATACCACTTATGTAACATGTAAGCACTTTGTTCTTTGATTCTTCTGTTGTAACTTGAACAGGATTATGTGCCAACCGTTTTTGACAATTTTAGTGCTAATGTTGTTGTGGATGGGAGCACCGTTAATCTTGGGTTATGGGATACTGCAGGTAAATTAATTGTTATCAGTAGATATCTTATTCATCTTGAAAACAAGTTATTGCATTTGTTGATTCTTATTTTGTGTGGCAGGTCAGGAGGATTACAATAGATTAAGGCCTTTGAGCTACCGTGGGGCTGATATCTTCATACTTGCATTCTCCCTTATCAGCAAAGCTAGCTATGAAAACATTTCTAAAAAGGTGAGGCTTCCTTTGCCACGTTAAACTGGATGTTGGACCTTGAATTCTTCCCTCTTCTATGTACTCCATTTATTTGGTAGGAGCAGGGAGGGGAGAAAAAGAAGACATGAACAAATTGGTTGAGCTTTTTATAGCTCATTGACAAATGATAGTTTCTTGATTGAGACCAACAACAAATTTACAGTTTTCCTTTTTGGTTATNAAAAAAAAAAAAAATTTATTAGTAACTATATAAAAATATGAAAAAAAGAAAGAAGACGGAAGGCTTGGTACTGATGGTTTTTTGTATGCTTTTCTTCTGATGTTCAGTGGATTCCTGAATTGAGACATTATGCCCCTGGTATTCCAATCATTCTTGTTGGGACAAAGCTTGGTCAGAATCTCCTTCCATCCCTTTCTATTGGAGTGCAGTAATACTGATTTCTTCTCTGTCATTATATCTGATGAAATGGTTGTCTGAAAAAATAAAAACAAAAACTAGATTACTCATTTGGTGCCTTCTTAAAGTCTTGAGAGTCATTCATCTCGTCTCCTACATAGATATTTGTCCTTTGAAAGAATTGTTTTAGAAATGCTGCATAACTGGCGTCAACTGTTGTGAAATTGTCAATATGTGAAAATCTATGCATAACAAGCTTATCCATTTTACACTGATATTGCATTGAAGTGATTTCTGGGTTGTTTTGCTAGAAGACAAAATATGTGCACAACTGTACTACATAAAAACGTGCTAACTTCAAACTGTAATTTTATATACCAATTCTATAATTACCGGTAACATGTGGATTTTTGCATGAATATTTTTGTTAAGCAGTTTGCCAATGTGTTAATGTTAATTTTTCACAAAGTTTGAACATAAAATTGTTAATAAGCTTATTCTCACAGAAATTATTGTTTTATCATATCCATTATCATCCCTGGGGAATTAGCTCTCCCGTCTTTATATACACCATTGGAATGGGGTGTAGACTCAAGTTTAGTGTTTTCTATAGGCATGCATCATATGAAAATATCTTTGCTTATTGGTTTTTGTTTTCTATAGGCACACATCACATGAAATTATCTTTGCTTATTTGTTTTCCTGTTTTTGAGATCTGTAATTTCACAAGTTACTCATTTTCTCCACTCTCCCTCTCCCTCTCCACCATCTACATTTGTTTTTTTTTTTTTTTTTTGTGTGTGTTCAGTCCAAGTAACTTTATTTTATTTCCTTGAAGATCTCCGCGAGGATAAACGGTTCTTTGCAGACCATCCAGGAGCAGTACCCATTACGACTGCTCAGGTATGTTGTTGCATTTGATGTTGAATAAATTGTCGTAGGGACCATCCGATTTTCATGTTCCTTTCTATCCTTCCAAGAGAAAACTCCACTTTTGAAATTTCCGATTTTCTATTGAAGGGAGAGGAGTTGAGGAAGTTGATTGGAGCAGCTGCATATATTGAATGCAGTGCAAAGACGCAGCAGGTTAATTCTTCGTTTTTTTGGCGCATCACCTTTTTGTCCTAATAAAGCTTCTTTAACTTTCTTTAATTAACAATACTTCTCAGTAACTTCACTGCTAAATATTGCAGAATGTGAAGGCTGTCTTTGATGCTGCAATTAAGGCTGTTCTTCAACCAACGAAGCACAAGAAGAAAAAGAGGAGCAGAGGTCAAAAGGCTTGCAGTATACTGTGACTGCTAAAAGAAAGGCTAAGGAGAGGAGCAACGACCTTATGCATTTTTTCAGTGTTAATCTGATGTCTATGATTCAGCTCCCCCACCTCGAGGATGCAATAGCCTGTGAGTTATAGTCTCGACTGACTGTGTTAGAGAGCTCTCTTAATGAATCAGTTTGTTGATTTTCTTACTATCAGCTTTAGTTTTGTGTATGGTGATATGAAGGTTCGTCATTTTGAACTCTAAAACTAGTGTGTGTTTGATATGCTGTAGTGGTCTGAATTGAACTGGACTGAGCTTTATAATTAACAACATTTTAACTCTTTCCTTTTTAATATCGTCCAGTATCACTCAATCCACACTAGCAAATAGCCGAGAATGTATCAATTTCCCATTTTGTGCTGTGCATACCTGTTATGTTTCTTTATTGGGCAGTCATATTAACAGTAAATTCAAGCTTTATCGAGCCTAACACGAAAGGGAAATGTTAGGTGTACAGGGGTGGGGGTCCCCACAGACAACTCACATGGGACCCAACTCAATAAAAAAAAAAAAAATTACACCCCCCCCCCCCC